TGTCGTCAATCTATTATAACTGGCGACGAAGGATAAACATCTACTAGAAAGAGCACCTACTTACGCAAAAAAGAGGTTTGCTAGAGCTTATTAGCTAATTATTTCTAGAATTATGGCGCTGTATGGCCAAATAAAAGAATTTGATGCGAATGATGAAATCATTCAAGATTACCTAGAGAGGTTAAGCTTTTACCTAGAAGCAAACAACGTGACGATAGAAGCCAAAAAGAGAGCTGTTTTGTTAACAGTCATAGGGCCTCAACAATTTAGGCTACTAAAAGACTTATGCGCACCAGCTAGTCTAAATACCAAGAGCTTTAACGAGCTGAGCAAATTGCTAACAGACCACCATGCGCCTACCCCATCAAAGTTTTTATGTAGAGCTAGATTTGACAGTAGGACTCGTCAACCAAACGAGTCAATAACAGAATATGTTGCTGCTTTACGTCATTTAAGTAGATTTTGTGAATTCGGCGATACGCTGTCTGACAGACTATGTGAAAAGTTTGTGACAGGTGTAAACAGCCCTGATATTCAAAGAAGGTTGCTGCTCGAGTCAGATCTAAAATTGGAAAAAGCAATACAACTCGCAACTTCAATCCAGCAGTCATCAGATGCGGTGAGATCTTTAGCACCTTCAGAGATCCATGCAGTAAACAGCAGGTTAGTCAATAAACACCAACCCCAACAGAGCATTCCAACTTATGCTAAACACCCTGCTCGTTCAAATCCTAGATCTAAATCTAGTAATAATTATCAAAAATGTCATCGATGCAAAGGTCCCCATGCATCTCATCGGTGCAAGTTCAAGTTAGCAACTTGTTATAAGTGCGGTAAGCAAGGTCACATTGCCAAGGCCTGCTTCGCAAAGTCTTCGTCTGTTGCTAAATCTAGCCAGTCAAGACAGTACCGCAACCAAAAGCAGCACTATGTTAACTCTCACCAAGACTACCTAACCCAACCAATGAACCACTCTACCAGTGAAAATGCTCAAACGGATTTGCAGCCGGATTTCAACCTGTTCTCTGTGAAATCAATAAGTCATGCTCCCATCAATGTACAAGTTAATATCAACGGTAAGAGCATCAGCTTCCAACTTGACACTGGAGCATCTCTAACAGTCATAACAAAGAAAGAGTTTGACGCTGTCACAGGAGGATCAGTGTCTCTACAGCCGTGTCACAAGTGTCTAACAACATACACTGGTGACAATGTTCCGGTAATAGGAGAGTGTATGGTTCATGTAAGTTATAATGGTCAAAGTGTTAAACTTCCTCTTCTTGTGGTTGAAGGAAATGGACCGCCATTACTAGGTAGGAACTGGTTAAGTGATCTTAAGTTAAATTGGGAGAGTATTTGTTCATTGAAGAATGTAAAAGAATCTAGTCTTACTTCACTAGATAAAGTAATATCTGAAAATAAATGTGTTTTTGGTAACTCTGGATTACTAAATGATAGAACAGTGAAGTTAAGCATTAAAGATACAAATCCAAGATACTGCAAAGCTAGAGTTCCACCTTATGCAATGAGGAATAAAATTGAAAATGAGCTAAGTAGATTGGAATCTAATGGCATCATAAAGAAGGTAGACTATTCCGATTGGGCGACACCCATTGTGCCAGTGTTAAAGAAGGATGGTTCTATAAGAATTTGTGGAGATTATAAAACCACACTGAATAAGCAAATAGAGCTAAATAGGTACCCTATTCCTAACATTGAGGAAATTTCTTTGAATTTGGCAGGAGGAGACAAATTCACTGAATTAGACTTTAGTCATGCTTACACTCAACTAGAACTGCATCCAGATTCAAAAGTCTATACGACAATAAACACACATAAAGGACTCTACCAATATGAAAGACTATGTTTTGGCGTATCATCCAGCCCTGGAATTTTCCAAGCTGTCATGGACAGTATTTTTAAGGACATTCCAAATGTTTGTGTGTACTTTGACAATGTGTACATAACTGGTAAGAATGACACTGAACATCTTAAAACACTTAATAAAGTATTGAAAATTGTTGGTGAAAAAGGTTTAAAGATAAACAAAGATAAATGTCAATTCATGCTGACAGAAATTAGTTTTCTTGGTTATATATTAAGCAAGCAAGGCATCAGACCTCAACCTGAGAAAACAAAAGCCATTAAAGAAGCACCCAAACCTGAAAATACCCAACAACTAAGAGCTTTTTTGGGCTTGATAAATTACTATGCAAAGTTCATAGGAAATCTGTCTGGTAAACTATCACCACTGTACAAGCTGCTACAGAAAAATGCAACTTGGCACTGGGGTAAACAACAAGAAGCTGCTTTTAATACAGCAAAAGAGGCTTTGTCTGCTGACACCTTACTAACTCACTATGACCCAGGGAAAAGACTTATATTGACATGTGATGCTTCACCAGATGGTGTAGGAGCAGTCTTGTCCCACATGGATGAGAAGGGTGACAGACCCATTGCTTTTGCCAGTAGATCTTTGAACCAGGCTGAGAAAAATTATTCTCAGTTAGATAGGGAAGGCTTAGGCATCATTTTTGGTGTTAAGAAATTTCATAAGTTTCTGTTTGGTAGGAAGTTCACCATCTTTACAGATCATAAACCATTGCTAGGTTTATTTGGAGAAAACAAAACCCTACCTGAGCATGCCTTACCAAGAATTCAAAGATGGGCTATCACACTAACTGCATACAATTATGAATTGAAATACAAACCTGGATCTGAGAATAGTGCAGATAGTCTTAGTAGATTACCTTTAAAAAACCAAAGCCTGAGCTATGTACCAGAAGATGTATTTGTTCTCTTCACTATCATGGATAACTCCAATATAAATGTGAATGATATTAAAAGAGAAACACAAAAAGATGAGTGCTTAATAAAAATATATGAGTACAGTAAGAATGGTTGGCCTGAAGAGTCTGTGAATGATGACTTAAAGCCATATTAAATAAGAAATAAAAACCTTTGTGAAGATAATATAAAAGATGGAGAAGATGCAGTCCATTATCAGTCAGAGTTGCCTAAACAAAGTATTTGTAATTTAATAAATGATTATGGTGATATGGCAATTTCAAATGTTTTAAAGAGAATACATTAGTAAGAAGGAATGTGATCATCAAACAACTTTGCTAACATCATTAGCACTTACAGAAACTAAAAGGGTAACATCAAAAGAAAAGAGCAAAGATTTTTGCCATTGAATACACCCACTTCAAATACTGGATCACAGTTGCAAAGTGATATTATCCAGGATATTACTTTTAAACAGTATGTTTGGTTACGAAAAAGCACTACCAGATTACCAGATCAAATTGTTTCAGATAATGGGCCTAGTTTCACAGCTCATGAGTTTAAACTGTTTTGTGTGGCAAATGGTATTGAGCATATAACCACATCCCCCTATCATCCTGCTGGGAATGGTTTAGCTGAAAGAGCGGTAGGCATATTCAAAACCGCTATGGTAAAAATGAATACCGGTAACAAGTTTTCTCTTAGAGAAAGAGTAAACAGGTTCTTAACCAAATACCGCACAACTCCTCATATAACAACAGGTGTTGCACCATGTGAATTGCTATGTGGTAGGAAAATTAAAACTCATCTTGACCTACTACATCCAACTGTTCAAAGGTCTGTTTCCCAACATCAACATACACAAAAAGTAAATCATGACAAATCATCCATTGAAGAGAATTTGGTGTTAATAAGAATGTGTATCTAAGAAGTTATGGGAGAAAGGAAAAATGGATACCAGGTCAAATTGTTCAATGTACAGGACCTGTGTCTTATAAAGTAAAAACAAATGATGGACTTATTGTCCGTAGACATGCAGACCAGTTAAAAATAACTTGTGCAGATAATAAGTGTGAATCTGTCAATCCCACCAAGTCTGATCAGTTCACACCAACTCAGTTGTTCCACAACCAAGTTCTGTTGATATGAGTGAACCAAGTTGTCTGGAGTCAGAAAATGTAAATTCTGGAGTTAATGATTTAAATCCTAGACCTCCTGAGATAGAGAATCCAGATGGTCAGAATCTTGAGTCACCAAATCAGAAGCCACTGAGAAGGTCAAGCAGGACAATCAAAGTCCCAAATAAGTTAGACCTATGATTCTAAAGGTCAAAAGGACTTTGACATCATTGTTTTGTATTTTGATTATGTTGTGGCATATTGTGCATTGTTTGTAAGGATGTAATCTACCATAATGTTCATGTTACAATATAATTGGTGATTTTAGGATACTATCAATTGTTCTATTGAGAGATGTGTTATTGTGTTCTAAGGGTAAAGGGATGTAATAGATTGAAATAATTGTGAGGTCAAGGGAACTCACTCTTCTGTATTAGTTATATTTATAATATTGTTATCTTGAGTGATGTCCCTTGTGTACTTCCTTCCGACCTCTCTGTGTGTTACCATCGTGGTAGTTAGACCAGATTAAACGTGTTATAAACAACCACAGGCTTCTGTCGTCAATCTATTATAAGACTAAACATAAAAGGTATAATTTTAATACAGGTTGTACAAGTGCTTAACGAACTTAATGCCGGGTCCCAATAGTGGCCGAGGCTATTAGGACCCGGGTCCGAATAGCCAATTCCTTTAATTTTACTTACAGATAACAAACTAAGCAACAGCAATGTTTTTTATAGGTTCAGATTAGCAAATAAGGCAGCTGTCTATCCTTCCGTTGCCACACATCTCGTCTAGTTTCTGTTACACCATTTATTGATTAGCAATCCTTGGCTACTTATTAAAAGTAGCCTACAACTAATGCTACTAATATTTAGATACTTCAACATAATCCTAATCATATCATATTACAGTATGAGTATAATACCCAGGTATTATTGATGCAAAATTTCAGTCCCACCCCCTTAGTTAGACTTCATTATATGTGATTTTCTTTTTCTTCTAGCATGTATTAACTTGTAAGTTTCTATTTCCATATCCTTAGTCATCTATGTGCTAAGTTTTATCTTTATATCATCAATAACAACATAGATATGCAGTATGAAAAGTGACTTGTGGCAATCATTGTAGAACTGCACCACACACCTTAATTGGGCTTAATTAAGGTAATTATAAATTCTTTTCCTTTTAATTGATCTTTATTTCACTTGCATATTCCTATTGTCTACACTCTCTAGCATCAATGTTCACATTTTTAACATTATTTGTTTAATAAATTCGTTATACAAACCCAAATGTGATGACGCAAGATTACGTCAGACATGTTTAGCAGATATAGGTTAGCAGAAACAGACTATAGGCCTAGCGGGTTGGGTAGAGAGGCCAATGGGCGCACAGGGCTGACCGGTCACGTGGGACGGTCAGCTGACCACTGAGGCGTGGGGCAGTAGAGCGATAGGCCAGAAGTTGTGAGGTAGCGGTCAGAGACGGCCGAGAATGTAGATAGTTAGGAGATCATGATTAGCTAGCGAAGGTAGAAGGTGTTAGGTTGTAGAATGTAGAGAACAGTTAGTGTTAGGATTGGTCATGGGAGTGCGTAGTAGTAGGTAGCATGTGGTATGAACAGTCAGTAGTAGAAGTAAATAGTACAGTGTAGATCAGTTAGGTAGAAACTTGAACATATATATCATTTTAATAAAGAACAATTATAGTCGAACTTGAATTGTGTGTTATTGGATTCATTCGTTGACGTCCCTCGTAAAAATCCCCACCCTCACACCAAAGAAGGGCACTAAATATTTTGCAACTTTACATGAACATATAAGCTGTTTTACCTAAAGCTTTAAAAATTCATATAAAAAAAACTACTGGGCTTAGAATGATAGTTTTTGTTGTTTATTAAATGGCAGAACCTCTTCTTGATTATATTAGGTTGTTGCTCGTAGTTTTTGAACTACATTAATTTCAGATAAAATTATACCACACAAAAAAAAAGGATTTTTTTCCCAACACATCAATACCATTTTTGTGTCTCTAGCTTCATTAGGGGCTAATTTATGGGCTTTTAAAAAATTGTGGGCGTGGCTAAAACAGCTTAGACCTTCGTAATTCAAGTCTATATTACGCAAGTAAAAAAGTTGGCACATATGGTTTTTTCATTGCATCATCACGGATTAGCATTTTTCAAAAAAAATATAATTTTATTGCATCATCCTGTATTTGCATTTTTCGAAAAATTAAAAAATTATAATAAGGCTTCACCCTCATAACAGATTGACATTGGGTTAAAAAAATGCAACTTTTAAAATAAAACTAGATCTTGTTTAATTTTTTAAACTGATTTATTAATACTTAGACTGAATACTAAATAATGTTACTACTATTGTACTATTTTACAACCAGTTTTTCTTTAGAAATGTGTAAGCACATATTACTTATTATAGTAACTTGTTACTTGGGTAGATGAAGTAGAGCAGACCTACACATGCAACACAATAATGGTTGACCAAACATTGTAATACATGTAGATGTAGTGTACTGTACCTGTGGTGGTGGAAATTGTGCGACAACACTCAGGGTTCGTACGCAGTCTGGAAAAAGTCTTGAATTTAGAAAAGTGAATTTAAGACTTAAAAAAGTCTGGAAAATCGCTAGTTTTTGGGCAGGATTTTTTAAAAGTCTGGAATCTAGTTTTAGAAGCACAACTTCGTAGTCCATATTTTCCAACTTAAAAAATTGCTTTTTTTAAGTGAATTTACTCCCTTTTTTTTCCTATGTTTGTTGTGATGTTTTTTCGCTGGTTCGCAGATAAAAAAACGGATGCTCAGTTACTACGTCATTGGAAGAAGAGGGGAAGGGAGGGAAGAGATATTTTGTGGCACGACTGACCGTGTGAATGTGTTACAAGTACTTACAATTGTCGTTTAATAAAAGAATGATCGCCGTCATGATTGTTAGGCTCTCGATTTTACCCGCTATTTTTTCATCGTTTGAGTTTGCATGCAGGCAGTCAAAACAAAAAGTTATGGGGGAGATGTGTGAGTGGTAGTTTAGATATTATTTATCAGTCTGTAAGGCGTCATCCATTTATGACTTACAACAATTTTTTTCGGATTTTAGACACCCCCCCTTCTCCACTACCCCGCCCTCTGTCCACACGCGTTCACTTACTTTGGATTAATATAACAATATGGCTTATAAAAAAAGGAGTCGCCCTTTGATTAATAAAGGCAAAAGACAAAGAAAACATGATTATATGATTCCCTACTGAGATTCAAACTCTGGGGATATGGGTTAACAGATGTGCACTGTGCCACCCAACCATTGTGTGCTAAGGCATGAACACTGTTTTTAACTATTAATCTATTCATAAACTTCTGATTGATAATAGACACTTCAGTTGTTAAAACAAATGTTACCATAGCTCAATAAGGCCTGTTTGATCTTTTTTATGACTTAAAAAATTCTATGGTGTTATGAAATATTTATACATTTTTTAAAAATGCAATCAATATATTTTCAAAAAGAAATTTTAATTTGGTTTTCTAAGCAAGATTATTTTTATTTCAGTTTTTGTGCAATAATTCATCAATCTAAAGCTATGGAAAACACAAATGACACTAATGGTATAGTTTGGGAGAGTTTAATTATGGTTAAACAGGAATTGTGTGACGACATCATAACATTTATGGACATGAAATCAGATGAAACATCAGCTATTTCAAGTTCAGAAGGAGTACAAACAAATATATCAACACTCTTTTCAAATTCTGAAGATATAATGCAAAATGTATCAACACAATTTTCAACTGTTAAAGACAAATACTTGGAGGAAACAATGCAACCTTTAGCTTTAGAAGATAAAAATATTGATAAAACAAAGCCTTTGTTTAATTTAGAAGAGATGAAACAAGATAACCCAACATTTTCATCTGCTGAAGACATGAAACCAAATCTATCAACAGCATTTTCAATTTTTGAAGATATAAAACCTGAGATATTAACAATTTCATCTTTGGAGAGTGAAAAACAAAATGGTTTCAAAGCACAGCAACAACTTTCTTCCCCACCAGATTCAACTGATTTTAAAGAAAATTTAGCAGTTTTAAAATCAGATCTTCAAAATGAATTAAAAGAACTCAAGTCATTGCATACAAAATTGATTGATAATCTCCCAACAGAATATCGGATCAATGATAAGGGACTGAAGACATACAAGTGCGATATGTGTTGTCAAAGATTTTCCCATTTTGATCATGTTAAACAACACATAAACATTCACACAAGGGTGAATCCATATGGTCATGATTTTCATCAGCAAGAAGTTGTTATGATCAGTCAGGGTGAACAGATTAACAAAATAAACCAAGAACAGGTATACAATAAGTCTAGTTTGTCTAAAAAGCTCACTACAAAGTCTAGTTTATCCACACACACAAATATTCATTCTGGAATTAATAAGCCATATGAATGCTATGTGTGTAATAAAAAATATCATAACAAAAATTATTTAGCAAACCATATAAAGATACATTTAGGAGAAAGTCCATATGAATGTGGTGTGTGTCATAAAAAGTTTACAAAGAAGAGTAATTTATCTAGCCATGAAATAGCTATCCATTCTAGTCTCAAGCCACATAAATGTGGTGTTTGTCATAAAAGTTTTGCTCTAAAATCTGCATTATCTATGCATAAAAATATTCATTTACCAGAGAGACCATATGAATGTGTTGTTTGTCATAAAAGTTTTTCTCATAAATCTAATTTATATAGACATAAAAATATTCATTTACCAGAGAAACCATATGAATGTGATGTGTGTCACAAAAAATTTAGTCAGAAAGGACATTTATCAGAACATAAAAATATTCATTTACCAGAGAAACCATATGAATGTGATGTGTGTCACAAAAAATATAGTCAGACAGGACATTTATCAGAACATAAAAATATTCATTTACCAGAGAGACCATATGAATGTGATGTGTGTCATAAAAAATTTAATCGTTAAGGTGATTTATCAGAGCATAAAAATATTCATTTACCAGAGAAACCATATGAATGTGATGTGTGTCACAAAAAATATAGTCAGAAAGGACATTTATCAGAACATAAAAATATTCATTTACCAGAGAGACCATATGAATGTGATGTGTGTAATAAAAAATTTAATCATAAAGGTTTTTTATCTACACACAAAAAAATTCATTTACCGGAGAGACCATATGGATGTGATGTGTGCCAGAAAAAATTTAAGAATAAGGAGGATTTATCAAAACATAAAAATATTCATTTACCAGAGAGACCATATGAATGTGATGTGTGTCACAAAAAATTTAATCACAAACGTTATTTATCAGAACATAAAAATATTCATTTACCAGAGAAACCATATGAATGTGATGTGTGTCACAAAAAATTTAATCATAAAAGTGGTTTATCAAAACATAAAAATATTCATTTACCAGAGAGCCCATATGAATGTGATGTGTGTCACAAAAAATTTAATCATAAAAGTGATTTATCAAAACATAAAAATATTCATTTACCAGAGAGCCCATATGAATGTGATGTGTGTCACAAAAAATTTAATCATAAAAGTGATTTATCAAAACATAAAAATATTCATTTACTTAATTTACCAGAGAGACCATATGAATGTGATGTGTGTCTTAAAAAATTTAGTACTAAACGGAATCTTTCAAATCATAAAAAGATTCATTCAGGAGAAAAACCATTTGAATGTGATGTGTGTAATAAAAAATTTAATCGTAAAGGTCATTTATCTACACACAAAAAAATTCATTTACCGGAGAGACCATATGGATGTGATGTGTGCCAGAAAAAATTTAAGAATAAGGAGGATTTATCAAAACATAAAAATATTCATTTACCAGAGAGACCATATGAATGTGATGTGTGTCACAAAAAATTTAATTATAAAGGTCAATTATCAATACATAAAAATATTCATTTACCATTTAATTATAAAGGTCAATTATCAATACATAATACATAAAATACAATACATAAAAACATATGAATGTGATATGTATCATAAAAAATTGAAGTATAAATGTAGTTTATCAATACATAAAAATGTTCATTTACTATAATTTTAAAGGTGATTTATCAGAGCATAAAAATATACATTTACCAGAGAGACCATATGAATGTGATGTGTGTCACAAAAAATTTAATTATAAATGTAGTTTATCTAAACATAAAAATATTCATTTACCAGAGACAATATGAATGTGACATTTAATCAAAATCTAGTTTATCTATGCACACAAATTTTTACTCAGGACTTGAATGTGTTGTTGGTCATTAAATTCTCTTTCACAAAGTTTTTTAATTATCTATATATAAAATTATTGCTTTTGTACTAATACCACATTGTGGAGGCTAAAAACACACCATTAATGTTTGTCATACATGACATAATACTCTTCATTTATAGTAATATTTGTCATACAAAGTATTACTAATGATTAATATGCTATCTAGACATTTCACACACTGGAAGAAAAACTACATGGAAAGAATGGATGTCATGAATAACCATAGCACATTTATTATCTTGTACAAGGTGTTATGGCTAGCTTTGTTCAGGTTTTTTGGAAAATAAGATGGCTAAATTCTTACCCTTTACATTACCCATACAATTAATACAAACCATTAATCAACACCAACATTTTAAATGTACAATTATAATTTGAATCATTGAAGTAATACTTACTCTATATTTTTCTATATTGAATATAATTCATTTTATGCAATTTTAAATTTTGTATAACTAATTATTTAACCCATTAAGTTGATCATAATTATGATAATTGAAGTGAGCAACAAAATGTATTAATTAATGTAGCTGAAAATGATTAAATTTTTAAGACATAAGATACAATTTATTATTATGATTATTATTGATGTTTAATTTATCTTTTTTTTTAAAGACATAATAAATATTTTCAGCTTTTAATTAGCGTTAATTCCGTTTTTTTGGGTTATTATGATTGGATCGGCTGTTATGATATATAGGTCTAGACCAGGGGTCTCCAAACTACGGCCCGCGGGCCATATGCGGCCCGCGAGGTCCTTTCATCCGGCCCGCGGAGATCTTTTTGTCCACGGAAAAAATGTTTGCTGGTGATGGCTGAGGAACTTTGCCCAGAAAAATTAAAGACATATCTGGAAGAAACTGGCCCCGAACTGAAATTTGATAGCTAATGCGGCCCTCGGACTGAAAAGTTTGGAGACCCCTGGTCTAGACCAATCTATACATATATATATATATATATATATATATATATATATATATATATATATATATATATATATATATATATATATAAATAAATGAATGTATGTGGGTTTGAATAAATTGAATATATTCCATTTTATGCAATTTTAAATTTTGTATAAATAATTATTTAACCCATTAAGTTGATCATAATTATAATAATTGAAGTGAGCAACAAAATGTATTAATTAATGTAGCTGTAAATGATTAAATTTTTTAGACATAAGAAACAATTTATTATTATGATTATTATTGATGTTTAATTTATCTTTTTTTAAAAGACATAATAAATATTTTCAGCTATTAATTAATCAGAAAGCGTTAATTCCGTTTTTTAGGGTTATTATGATTGGATAGGCTGTTATGATATATAGATCTAGACCAATATATATATATATATATATATATATAATATATATATATAATATATACATACATATATATATATAATATATACATACATATATATATATATATATTTATATATAAATGAATGTATGTGGGTTTGTTTGTTGATTTGTCCTTATGGCATTACTACACCTTTCACCTATCGCCATCACACTTTGGGGAGTTGCTGAATAGGTTTCTTTCTGTGTTGAAAGGGGTGGGGGGGGGGGGGGTGGTGGGGAAGAAGATTCAATGTCACAAGGGCGGCGCACCGGCAAAGTTCGATGCGATTTGTCTCTATAATACGGTATATAAAAAGTCTTGATGCGGTTAGACACCGTTCATCCTAGTGCCATAAAACTTTGGGGAGTAAAACTGCAACAGGCGCAGCTCACTAAATTAAATCAGGCGCAAAGGCGCCTACGTTCGTGCGATGTATAAATTGGGGTATTATAGTATTTTATCGAATGATATTTGTTTGCTAAACTTTGCAATGACTCTTTCGCGATTAAAAAAATATAGTTCGGCCAATTCCAATTGAATAAAATGTGAACGATTGTCCAGTTAAGTCTGTAGAGCATTGGGGTCGCGAATGGCTTTCTTGGGGGTCGCGAACTGGTAGACTAAACCCTAGCAATGAAAAAAAAACAACAACAAATATTTAGAAATTAGAAGAATATCTGAAATTCAGCTTTACTAACATCTCAGGAAATGAAATTAAGAAAAACAATGCGTAACGTGCAAAGTTGATCTCAGCCATGGGTCTATGAAACCTTCAAAACTCAAACGTCATTTTGAGACGAGTCATACGGTACACCAAAAAGACATGGAGCTCTTTTGTCGGCATGAAGTTAGCAGTGTTTCTTCCAGACTTTTTTCTCCGGGGGGGGGGGGGGGGGCGAACTGGAAGAAACTCTGGAAGTTAGTTGCAAATGTCAGAGTCTTAATCGAACATGTTTTCAAAAATGAAACACAGCATTAGGGAAATCATACAATGAAGTCGCGATAGAAATTGCCAAGCAAAAAAAAAAAAAAACAAAAAAAAAAACAACAATAGGACAAAATTTCATCAAACCCTGCATGTTGAAGATGGTGAAATTAATTCTTGAAGGTTCCGGTGCAATAAAGATGCAACAAGTATCTCTGTATAATAATACTATTCAACGACTTATAGCAGCTATTTCCTTGGATAGTTAAAGAACAAATTTTAAATGAAATCAAGCTTTCACCATTGTTTGATTTTCAAGTTGATGAATAAACAGACGTAAGTTCGTATTCGCAGTTGCTTGTCTTAGTAAAATATATCATGGAGAGAAAAAATACTTTTTTTTTGAAGCTTGATGATTAAAATGGAAAAACGTCTGTAGGATTAATTGTATGGATGGTGCTTTATCTATGTTTGGGTCAAAATCGGGCTTTTAGAAACCGATAAAATATTTAGCTGCCTAACCCACGGGAGATCTACTGCGTGATTCACCGGTATGCCCTCGCCAGCAAGACTCTTCCGACACCATTGCTAATAAACGTCGTAAATTATAATATTAAATCCAGAGTCCTAAACATACGTCTGTTTAAAGAACGGTGCAAAGAAATGATAAACATCACAAAGTTCTGCTTTTCTTCACTACAGTACGTTGGCTGTCAAAAGAGTGGTTGGAAAGAGTAGCATACCTAGCAGATATATTCCAACATCAACATAAGCTTAACCTGAAGCATCAGGGAAAATGAACGAATATTATCTGTTTTCAGGATAATCTCTTTGAATTTTTATGTGAGCGGGTGAATGGATTATTTATTTTGTATTATTTTATTTGGTACGAATCTGCGAGTGGATGATCCAATGAGGAGAGGCCACGGGTCCCCCTTCCGTCCGAAGCGGGCAGTATATAAACTGACCACTCGGATAATTTCTTCCTTTTTTTGACCGCCAGAATGTAGGTCAGGTCAGCTTCTGTGGTCGCCCTTTGTGCGTTGGAGGTATTTGTTTTTTTTATACTTTATCTTTATGTGATTTGTATGAATGCGACTGCCGATGTGTTCTCGTTTTATTTCTTTTTCGTCTAAAACGAGATAGTGAGCATCGGCATGTCTGGTATGCACGTGGTGTGTTATTTTGAAAGATTTAAAATGTATTTTTGATGTTTTCTAAACCCTTGGCGTGTGTTTTCGGACCACGTGGTTTAGGTCAGTGTGTTTAGGAATGTTTCCTACACTTGTGCGAATGCGTGTGTGCATTTACATTTTACTTTATTATGATGTTGTTATTGTGGGTTCCCCACGATGACTAGGATTGGCTTAGTCAATAGTCAGTTGTTTTAGACAGTAATTAGATTACTATATTTTAGTTGCCTCGAGTTTTAGGTTGTTTAAAATTAATGTGTGTGCTGTTTCGTGCAACGTCATGTTGAGTATCGCTTGCTTTGTGTCTGCCTTCATTGGGGCCTTAGCGGAGTGTGTTAACTTAAGGGCATGGGCGGGTGTACTTTTCGTCATAAATCTACTAAATCATCGATTTCCCACTTTTACTTGATCTATACAGAATAACCATCGTTGAATCTAAAAATGACATTGTTATGACCCTGAAAACATTATTTATTTATGAAAAACCGGGTTCAAAGTAGTGTGTTCAGGGTAATTTGTTCACTTTTTCGGTAAAAATAGCCATTTTTCGACCTAGAAAAGTACTATTAGATTTTGCGGAAGCCTAATGTGTTTCATATCAATGGAAAGGCCGTGACCTCATTTCTTTATTTGTTCTAAAATTAAAGGACCAATCAAAATACCTATTTTAATGTGATTATTTTTCTACGTCATAAAGTTGTTTATTTTACTCAGTCGGGTTTTTCCGGTGTGCAAATTTTTGACCTCAATTTTTTCATTGGCATTCAACGGCGGAAGCTAGTTAGCGATTGGTCGTTTCGCTTCGGAAGTAAACAATCCCTTAGTTTCAGCGCGTTGCTAAGTTTGATCTAGTTTTGTTTCTCTAAGCTTCTGTGAAATACTTACATTATTTTAACATATAATTATTTAAATTAAATATACTTTTAACAGTTTAGATTAGTTTGTGTGAATTATCATAAGCAGTGAGACGATTTAATGTTTCTCTTTCGATAATGGGTAGAACAAAACACTCGCTAAAAATAGATACACACATGAAGTTACTAAAGCAAAGGCACGTCCGAATGCAACTGATTGCATCTACCTCTACTCAATCTAGTACTATTCAGACAAGCACTGGTGCAGATGTAATATGCACATTTACTAAGAAACTGCGGTAATGTAAGACAGTTTTTACAGACAGAAGAAAGCACTGTTACATCTAGTATGGTAGTGCTAATTGTAAACAACAGCCATGCAGAATTATTGTCGACTGTGATTTGCTTCTTGATGTTATCAATACATTTCCTTGCCCAGAGTGTAACTGTGATGTAGTGGCTACTATTGATGAAAACAGTGTAAAGGGTTTGCTTCAAGCATGGTGTGGCAGTTGTAAAAATGTTGTAAACCGTATGTTTACAACTGCAAAAGAATCCAGAACAAGGCCATTCACAATAAACAAAGACATCGTCTTATCATAATTGGCTTTAGACATGAGACCATGCAAAATATACTGCTGTTTCTGCGATAGCATAATTCAGTATGGGGCCCATGCATGCTATAGCATTGCTGTCAAAAGAAGGAAACCATAGTCAAAGACTCAGTGAAGGACGCCAAAAAAGAAGCCTTCGCAACAGCTTTACTACAGCTCTAGGTACAACAAAGAAAGCCAGAAAAAAAGGAAACTAACAGCTGAACAAGCTCAGAAGAAATATATTCAACAGCACCATACTTCAGGCAATAAATGTGGTCAATTTTAGTGACATACAGCTGTAAATTTTCTTTTTTTGCAACTTTTTGTTGGTTTTTTGCGTTTTTCTCAGTTTGATACTTTTGTGTACAATTATTGAAATAACTTTGTTAATAATTATCAGAACTGAACTAAATTTGCTCCAGTTACTCTGTATATATGTTCAAATAAAACTGATAGAACACTTTTGGAAATTTAAAAAAAAAAAAAAAATTTTTTGTTGAAATAGTGAAAAAATTGGACGAAATAATGAAATTTTTACAGTGATGTATAGGAAAAAAAAGTAAAAAAAAAACTATCGTCTTTTTACAAAATGTAATCTATCAGAAGTGTTAAACACATGTGTCTTCAGACTATATTAAGATTTTATGAAATTTGTACAAACCATTTTTGAGTTATTTCCATTTAAAAATCGTCAATAAAATCCAATATGGCCGCCGTCACCATGGCAACGGAGGATTTAAAAAATAAAAAAAAATATTTTTATGCTTATCTCTTTGAGTTATAACTATTAGCCAAGTATTACATCTTTAGACTCGGAAATAAGGAAGTTGGTACTCATCACCCGCCCATGCCCTTAATGTTATCAATATAGATGTTGTTTATGTAAACCAATGGCTTCGGGCTTCCTTGTGTAGGAAAGATTGGTTCTACAATGAATTTGTTTACACGTTATTTTTAAGTTGCTAGTTCTTGGTTAG